AAGATGATCCTTTTTCATTTAAAGTCAGATATTTCAGCGACAAATTGTCGTTAAGAAAATATGAAGAAAGCATATAATAAAAATTCTCCTCGCCCGTGGACCAAAAACAAAAGCATAAAAATTTAGGTTTTTTTTCTTGCGCTATTACTTAAAATTGCGTGATAACCGTAGCACACAAAAAGTATTTGCCAAAAGATCTCAAAACTAGAAACCTAAAGCTTCAAAATGTTTTTTTTTTAAATCTAGATACGATCATTTTTCGATGAGTTACAGCCTTTCAAAAATCACCAAAAAATTTGGGAACATTTTTTGTTCCTTCAATTTTTTGGAGTAGTATATTATACGATATAAATTGTTAGATACTGTATGTAACTATAAAATAATTTAAAAAAATGATATTTTTCTAATTACTTTGTTTTTTTTCTTTGTTAATCCTTTTTTGTTCGTGGATTACGTTGGTTTGTGTTGAGATTGCTTTCGTCGTCTTCTTTTCACCGTGACTGATGTTTTCTGAATAAGATTCCTCTCTAATTAACCCTAAATTCGGGTACTAAACCCATTCCTCTGCACGTAAATGTCCCATAAACCGTCTAACGACCCGTCAATGATTTACAAACGACAAAGCACTCGTCTCAGTTCATTCAATTTCGGTTTTATTATCTCCATGAATGGTAAGCGACCACAGAGGAAGGAAGAGCATCGATAACCCAATACCATCGAAATAAAAATCGCAATTCGGGCCATTTCCACTGACATAATTAACTCCTCGCGTCAGTTGACATGACTTTGGGCCATCTGAGATAACACACAACGACCGGTCAACTGATTAGGCCGCCTTTGACGGCATCTTCCAACAAATGGGCCTCTCTGGACACGTCCCATTTAATAAATCACGGGTGATTTATCCCATCGCCGCTCAAACACAACGAATTACTGTTCAAGGGCTGAAAGCAGGTTTCAGGGATGGAGTAATCTTCTAATCTTCATAAGTGACAGATTTTCTTCAGATAAAATCTCTAGGTAGTCGTACGACAATAATGCCCCTGTTACAAGGGCCCCAGGCGTGAGAGTGTTGATAGAGAAGAAGCTGAGGTCGTACCACCCACTAGTTTAATGAAAGGGGACGAGATTTAATTATAGTTTTTTCCGTAATTGAGTTATTGGAAAGTCAATACTGAGACCGGTTCTAGTGGGACACACCCACGATGGGACGATGTGCGAATATTAGAGCTCATTCAAATTTGAAATTTTTGGCTGGACGGAGGCGGAAAACAACTAGTTTTCGAGGCTAGACACGGGTTTATCAATTTTTCAATTTTTTCCTGATGTATGGTACACTAAACTAATTCCGAGATTGCTGTGGGATGGTCGTAGGTAACGTTTTACATACGTTAGTCCGCCTAATCGACCAAATTTATTTTATTTATTGTTTGAAGTAAGTTATTCGTTAGCTGACCTTTCCAACACATTCCAAAATTATATCAAGCAAACCACAATATTAAAAAAAATTATCTTAAGACAATAAGAAGGAATAAACAAAAACATCAAAAAAATTGATTTTTGTAAATAAAAACTGTTTTTAGGATCAAAAAGCATTCCTAGAATAATGTTTAGAACCAATCAACCATGTCTTCAGTTGGAATAATTAGCAAATTTGTCGAAATTCATCGTCCCGGGTGCTAAAATGTTTGATTTATGTGAAAATTGCGTAAATTTCTAAACAAACACTCGAACATGAGAAAGGAAAACTAACACCAACACAAAATTACGAAAGCTTTTTCAATCACCAGAGTTAAAAAACGGCTACATAGAAACACAAAATCATCGAAAATGCCCCAACTACAAACAAACGATGAATAATCGTCTCTAATGATCCGACCAGCTGCCAAAACAGCGTTCTACTTCTGAAATTTTCATTAAACTGTAAGAAAACAAACGGTTGTATTACACGATAAACGGGTCAGTGTTTCCTATGATTTCCTTTTGAAACCTCCCGTTCCCACAAGCATCTCGTGACTCGCAAAAAAAAAGAATTGAAATCATGTTTACATCCCAACAGATGGTGGTTATGTCATGTGTAAACAAATCCATGACGGAGAAGAATGTTAAAATTATGTCATCATCCCGATAAACGACAATTTGGGGTCTCCTTATACGGGCCCAAAGTCTAGTGTTTCACACTTTACGGCGGTGTTTAAACAGTAATTGGGTCAGTTTGTTCACAACTCGCACATGGTCCGCCTTGCTAATAAATCTATAAATATGTGCCGCATAAACAAAGGAATCATCACCGGAAATAGGAGGTGGCACCGGATTTTTTAAGGGCGGCAAGTTCACGGTCCGGGGCCCGTTTCGAGATCAATCCTCGGATTACTTAACGTTTGTTTAGAATTCTTGGTTTCATTCAAAAGGAAAGTGTAAACGGTGTTGGAACAATAAACAGGAGTGTTGGTACAAATGTACAGGCCTGCTTTCGACAGGAATATTAAAAACAATTAAAAGCGGCATTTTTCGTAATTAGGGGAAATGCTGGATGTTGGGAGCAATTTTATTGGGGCTATTTTTAAGTCAGTGACTGGCGTTACACCCACTTTCAACACTAAATGTTTGTGTGTTCCAGGAAGAGGGATTTGGATGAGAAAAAATAAGTGCAATGGACGGGTGTTAAAATTTTATGGAATTTTCTCGTCGCAGGTGTTGTAATTTCTCCCGATATTTCGGGTGTTTAGTCTGCAGAGTTCGGTGATCTAGAATTTTGATTTAAGATAACGGATTGTTGAGAAATTGTAAATAAAGTTTGACGTCGATAAAAAAAAATTCTGCTAGGAAATACTACTAAGAAATAAAAGCAAAAGCAGCCACAAAAAAATCCAACTCATAAACTTGGGGTTATATTATTGATCGAGACAAAAGAAAAAAACGTTCATAATTAAGGATTTGGAAGAATAAATTCATAGATAAAAGTGCTACATGCAAGCGGTTTATTTAAATCATTTGCCTCCAAAAAAATATAATTAATATAAATTATTATTAAAGTAATATGAGAACGAAATTTTGTTTTGTTTTTGAGTTTATGAAAATTGCATTTTATGTAAAAAAAAAATAATAAATATAAGGTAGAGAGTTAGTCCTTAGATCATAATCTTCATGAGGAAAATGGTTTTATAGTGGGTTGCCATTTAAAAAAATTAAAATTTATATTTTTTTGTATAACACAAAAAGAAAAGAAAATTTTGAAGAAATTTATTCTTGATAAAACATCCCATTTTTATACATAATACTTTATCTTTCAATAATTAGTTTTTCAAAAAATAAATGGTTTAAGCAAAAAACGTTTGGTTCCATACTTTTTATTCACCTGGTATGTACTCGTATTTCACAAATTTTCTCCAACACAGTAGAGATAGTTAATGCAAGATTTTTGATATTTGTCTTAAGAAAACAAATGTAAGTCCACGGTTTACACTTTTATAAAAAAATGTAAATCTGAATTATATGTAACTTCTAATTTAAAACCTTTAACGATGAGCAGAATAAAAACGAAAAATAGTAAACAAAATTTCTTTTTCTTTTATCGTAAACCACAATGTAAACGTTAAATTTTTCATGCTTTATTTAAGTTTTCATAACATGTACATAATTGATAATTTTTTTTCTGAGCCAAAAAATAGTTAATGTAATCAAATACATAATAATTTTTCTGACAAATATATTTTAATGATTAAAAAAATAAACAGGAAGCAACATGAATCTGCAACAAAACTGTGTCCAATTTTATCAAACTTTTAAAACATTGATAACCCCCGAAAATGAAAACAAACATTACAGACATTTAAAAAAAAAATGAAAATTAACGACATAAAATTTATTTATTTCATTTATTTATTAACATTTTATTATTAAAAAGTTTTATTTTTATTATTCTTCTAGAAGGTATTTATCAGAAAAGGTGCTAATGAATGAGTGGGCCATCAGCCTCGGAGTTCAGTATCTCAATAATAATGCTGATAATAATAATAGCTGCTCTAACGATAAAAAATACAATCAAATGTAAAATATTGTACTTAATAATACTCTCTGAAAATAAATAACGTTTCAAGAAATAATTTTTATTTTTCCCTTCGAAATTCCTTCTATTCTAATCCATTGTGTACAAGTTTACTCCAGCTTTGTTGACACACCAGCAACAAATTACCTCTCATAAGCATACAAAATTCAAGAAAATGAATCGGTCAAGGTTACCCGACCACTGCCCCCCCTATTTACCCATCATTTAGTACCCCGCGAAAAAAATTAAATAAACACCCATAAAATCCAGGTACAAAAAAATAATTACCATTACCACTTTATTTTCAATACAAAACATTGATAAACGAAGAGTTGACTCGCTTTTCCGCCTATCAAACCCGGCGTTTCCGCCAATCCCTCTTATGAGCTTTTAATAACACACGGAATAAATTATTTTCAAATTAACCCGACGGCAGGTAAAAATAGCACTTCTTCCGTATTTTTAGGCGCTAATTGCGTGATTGCATCTTCTTGAAATGGGGGTCGTAAAATCGCCGTGATCGAGATAATAGAAATAATAGACCACAAGAGCGGATTTATGGACTCCCGCGGAAACGTGCCGCCAATGGATAATGCACTCTGCGTTTATAAACAACAATTTACTTAATAAATTTTAATTTGGTTTAATGATAGTGCATGTGTGGTCGGAAAAGCTTTCGCGAAACGATGAAGTAATTTGTTTGGGCGATTATGCAAAGTGGACCATGATGGGAACCACAAGAACCAAATAATATTAAAATAAAAAAATACGAAAAGTTGGTTTGACAAATCGCATAGATGGCGTGGTTCTTTAGCTCGAGCTTTTGCAAGCTTAATAATCGTAAATTCTTCTGGAAGTATGACAGGACTGTACTTGCCACTTAATTAAGCTCCGGGACCCGGATTTCTGGCAAAAGCTCGCCAAAGCATGCAAAAAAGCTCAAAAGACTCACCGAAGCTTCGGCGCAGTGCACTACGACCCAGACGATGAAAAAGCCGAGGGCGAAGGCCCGGCAACAGCCCCGCCGCAGCGTCATAGCCTACTGCTCCATGTTCAGTACCATCTGAATCTGCTTGACTTACCCCCACTATTGTGACTTAAGACATTCCGGCGGGCTACGCCGAGTGTCTCTAATTTCGAATTTTTTTCAATGTTTGCGCCCCCTGATCGGGGTGAAATTTCACCAGTCAGTGGGGGATGTTTCGAAGATGATTGGGGCGAAGTTTGGGCCCGTTTGTGGCAAAAATGGCGGAGTTGTGGCGAGTTAAGTCGGTTCTAGTTTACCTCGCGCAGGAGGCTGGATGGTGGACCCATTCCGGCTCGCTGAAGCCAGTTCTTGTAGGGTTTTCAGTGACGCGCGGACACGCGTGTGTGCTTCACATAAAGAGAGTGAGTGCTTCCCCAGACGGGGAAGAGGTCGCGATGACCGGCCGCGTTGGGTAAGTCCCGGAATTCGGGAAATTTCGGAAAATTGCGAGTGAGGGTTTTTTACAGGTTCGTGGTGACGGTGCTCGGAGTGTGGACGTGCGTCAGTGGGGTAAGTCTCAGCCCTTAATTTTTTTTTCATGTTACGAGAGTGTTACGCAACGCGCGGGTTAATTGATGTGCCATCAGTGCGATGAATGAAAAAAACCATTAGAGCACATCTGGTTTACTCGTTTTACGGCCCGACTGAAACCGTGTAAAACTCCTCATTTTACGAATACTGGACCCGGAAAAGGTCCCAAATTCCCGAAACTGGGTCATAAATCGTGATGGGTGTGAAATACACCCATCGGACGTTAAACTCACTGAACACATATTTGTTTAGGGCGCGTGTTTAGTGCTATAGTTATTTAAAGTCCTTCACTAATCTGCCATCTGAAACGTGACGAGTTCCGTCGATAAACGACAACTACGCCACTGGCTTTGCCCACAATTTTTCGATCAGCCCACGGGACTTTCTCGATTTGTCATTCCTGATCGCCGATATTCAATTATCTGTTTTTTTTTTCTATTGAAAACGTAAGACTCTAATCTTGAAGTCGGGCCCAGGAATGGCACTTGCCACCAACATGAAAATTTTTAAAGCAAACAAAAAGCTATTTTGCAAAAATCTGAATATTCATGAGTTACTTCTTGAGATATTTTAAGTTTAGAAAATAAGCAGTGGCCCATCATGGTCACTAAAATAAAATTTTGGTTTTTTTATATTTTTAAACGAGATGCTTTTTTCAGAAATTTTGATTTTTTAAAAATGAAATAAAATACGACTTTGAAGTATACGTCTACAATTTATATTCATTGTTGCAAATTTAAATATATTTTGGATAAAAATACTTGCAAAATAAACTGATTTTTAATCTTATTAAAAAAGTTATAACACGAAACTACCTTTTGTTAAGATTTGTTCATGTTGAATTGCTACCCATTTTACAAAATTCTCCTTTTTTTTTCTTTTATTATAGAACTTTATTAAAAAATCTACAATTTTTTAAAGCATGACAGACTGTCCGATTTTTGAGCCGTTGATATCCGATTTGAAGACTAATAACATAAATTTTGAAATACATACAGAGTGCGCTAGAACTCGCGCCCCAGAGAAATATAAGGTAAGATGCCAGGATCATGAAAAAACTGTTAAAAAAAATTATCTATAAAAAATTTCGGAGTTATGAGAGTTTAAAATTTGCACTTTGATTCTTTTTATTTCTGTTGAAAAAATAATCTTCCAAGTTTTTTTGCTACAGTCTATTAGAAGAGGAAACAAAGAAGCTGTTCAATTTTATTTGTGGCTTTTATTGGCAAAATTTTTGTACCTTTACTAAATAATTGTAAAAAAACATATACAAGATCATTAAATAGACATAAAAAAATGTCAAATGTCAAAATTTTTTGACAGAGAATTTTTTAAACATTTTTTTCATGTTCCTGGTACAGTTGGAGACAAAATAGTTTGGTCGTCAATGTCACTTGAGTGACATTAAATTGTAAAGCATGCTTTAGAACTGTTAACCTTATTTTTAGCTACTATCAACCATAGTTGACAAGTTGTATGTACATATTTTTGATAGGAAAATATAATAGCTATCATTAATTTGAAATTGTCATTCGTTTAACATTAAATTATTACTAAAGTGTCAGAAAAGTGACGACCAAAGTATTTTGTCTCCAACTGTGTCTTATCTTACGTGCGCGAGTTCTGGCGCATCCTGTATGTATTTAATTAAAAAAAGTGAAAAACCCCTATTTTGTAACTTTCCAAAATTGATTTTTGATAATTTTTTTAAAAATTAGTTTAATATTTTTCATTTGCAATATAATCCACAGAAAAATATAAAACTAAAACTATGTATATTTTCCCAGTAATTCTTTTTTTAGATGTTGATTTAACGGTGAATTACAAACTCTTTCGAAATTTTCCTATTTTTTATTTTTACCAATTTTATTGTAATTTTTGCAAGTTAAATTAAGCAGATTTGTGGAATGTCAAATTTGTACATATTTTTTTCCACCTTCTCTTACGACCCGTCGCTGGAGATAAGGCAACGGGTGTTACAGTTTCCTGACTAATTTTAACTTGTGATTAGATTGGACAGTGACATCTAACGTGGTCACGGCTTCCTGTCGCTTCAATTTGAAATAAAATTTTTCTCATTTCAATTCTGAGTAGGTGTTTGTTTTTGCAACGAATCAAAATAGACAAAACTTTACTATCGGTGCGAAAAAGTTTCCGTAAACGCCTCAAATTTAGCTTCGGGAGCTTCGCCTTAACGCTTGTTTACACAAGGAAGCCTCTGATATAATATTTGCCTTCGTAATAGATCACCCGGTGGCATGTGCATTTCACCATTGTTTACATTTTCAAGTCCTTAATTCTTTTTATATCGTTGTTGGCTTTTCGCCAAAAGCTCTGGATGGTCAAATTTGTCACTGTTGAAAGTTGAACGAACTTGAATGTAATTTGGTGTGTGGTGGTACTAAATGGTACTCTTTAATCAAAATGAGTTGCGGTTCTTGTAGCCAACTAATTGCATTTTGGAAAGCGGCACAGTACGGTCATTTTTCTTCCGTAATGGCAATTTAAAATCAGGTTTCGAGATAACTCCTGCTGATATAAATTTCTTTCGCAGCAATTTCTCAGCAGCGGTGCTCAACAAAACAGGACGGGAGTGTATGGAAGGACTTACCCCTTTTACGAGAATAGGGCTTATCCCACGGGAGGGACGTATCGACAAGGGGGACAATATGGAGGGGCATCGGCCGAGGTTGACAGCACTGGAAGTCCTTCCTATCGTTACGAAGATACCCGACAGAGAACTCCCAATAGGAGTTACGAAGTAAGGGGGAGTTATCAAAGAGGGGGTGTGGGGTCTTACAGCCAAACAGAAGCCCCAAGTGCGGGTCAAGACTATTATGGTCAGTCCCAATCAGGCCAAAGACAAGGCCAGTATGACCAATATGGCCGATACATCCCAAACCCCTCGAGTCCATACCAAAGCAGGCGACCATACGCCAGCAGCTATGACATTTTTGACGCTCCGGGAAGCGCTTATGGGCCCAAAAACGGAAGTGAACGCTGTATTCCTAAATGTTTTGCCGAAAAAGGAAACCGAGTAAGTTACCATTATTTTTTAAAAACAAACTATAAACAAATTTAGGGTTTTCCGGGAGTTCCTGGAATTTCGGGAGAAAAAGGTCAGCGTGGTTTCCCGGGCGAAGAAGGGATAATGGGTCCAAAGGGCGACAAAGGCGAGCCAGGTCCCATCGGTCCGAGAGGACCTAAGGGCGAACGTGGCAAAATGGGTGTTCCCGGATTTCCTGGAATTAATGGCGTTCCGGGCTTGCAAGGGCCACCCGGCCATCCTGGACTACCCGGACTTGATGGATGTAATGGAACTGATGTAAGTTTCTTCATTTGAGGGTTTATAATTTTTCTGATGGTATTTGGTAGGGTCTTCCTGGACTTGACGGTTTTCCTGGGGAACAAGGACCGAGAGGTTTTCCCGGAACGCCTGGAATCAAAGGCGAGAAGGGTGAAGCTGCTCACTGCGAAATTAATCTAAAAGGGCAGAAGGGAGAACCGGGAAGAGATGGTGTGACTGGACCTTCTGGGAATCCAGGACCGCCTGGACCTCAAGGTTTGCCAGGATCTCGTGGTGAAACCGGACCTCCGGTAAATATTTAATTTTTGGAATACAGTAAGTAAGTGTGGTTTTAGGGACCTAGAGGACCTCCTGGACCGAAAGGTTCGAAAGGTAACATGGGAATTGGGTTTGAAGGTGCTAAGGGTGATAAGGGTAGTAAGGGAGAACGTGGTAAAAAAGGAAGTTGCAACAGTTACCAGACTGGAAACCAAACTGCTACGATTGGCCCTCAAGGAGAAAGGGGTGAAAAGGGTGATATAGGTCCACAAGGAGAAATGGGTGAGAAAGGAAATACAGGAACAGGTGGAAACCCCGGAACTTCGGGATCGATAGGAATGAAAGGAGAAAAAGGCTTGCCCGGTGCTCCCGGACCAAGAGTACGATTCGATATTTTTATTTAATTATTTTATTTATTATAATTTTAGGGTAGAGATGGATATGCCGGTCCTCCTGGTCCTCCAGGTCAAAAAGGAGATCGAGGAGTCGAAGGATTGCCAGGTTTACCTGGACGCCCAGGCCTTAAAGGAGAACCCGGAAAAGACGGCCCACCTGGTTTTCCCGGATTAAGTGGACCACCAGGACCACCTGGTGGTGGTAAAGGCCGCCCAGGACCTCCGGGTCCTCAAGGTCCTAGAGGTTATCCGGGACCAATGGGACCTAAAGGAATGGATGGTTTTCCGGGAGATCCGGGTCCAAGAGGTCCGATTGGACCACCCGGAGGTCCAGGACTGAATGGCAGACCAGGTCCTGAAGGAGCACCTGGCGAAAAAGGTGAGAAAGGTGAGGCCGGATCTATTGGATTTCCGGGTGCGGATGGACCCAGAGGATATCCTGGGCCTATTGGTCCTCAAGGGCCGCGGGGATTCCCAGGAGAGAAAGGACTCTCAATCATGGTAAACTAATGTTTGTACTTTGATAAATCTATAACGTGTATTTAAAGGGACCGAAAGGTGATAATGGAGAACCTGGATTAGATGGTGAACCGGGTCAAAAAGGTGAAAAAGGTGTATCTGGACAACGTGGTGTTCCTGGAGATGCTTTGAATGGTGTTCCTGGTCCACCGGGTCCTATGGGGCCTCCAGGAGAGAAAGGAAATCCTGGTAGACCGGGATTGCACGGAAATCCAGGAATACCGGGAGAAAAGGGTGACAGGGGGGGAAGATGTATCGATTGTTTACCTGGAGTAAAAGGAGAAAAAGGCGAAGCTGGAATTAATGGTCGGGATGGAGATGTTGGACCCCGTGGTCCTCCAGGATCTATGGGATTTCCCGGATTGCCTGGACTCGATGGATTACCAGGACGACAGGGACCTCCGGGGCCTCCAGTACGTAATGAAAAAAATGTTATAATTGTTTTTAATTGTATTTTAATAGGGAAAAGATGGTTTGCCGGGTATTCAAGGAAATCCGGGAATTCCGGGAGAACCTGCATTTATTCCACGTGATTTAGTTAAAGGAGAAAGAGGTCCAAAAGGTGACAGAGGATTTCCGGGACCGGAAGGTCCCAGAGGTTTACCCGGACCAATAGGACCTAAAGGAGAATCTGGTTTACCCGGATTTCCGGGTATGAAAGGTGAACGAGGGTTTGACGGTTATCGCGGCAGCGATGGTAGACCTGGAGAGCCTGGTATTCCTGGAGCAAAAGGTGAAAAAGGAACAAGTGTGAAGGGCGAACCTGGATATTCTGGACCACCCGGACGTCCTGGACTAAAAGGAGACGAAGGGGAACCTGGAGAAAAAGGAGTACCTGGACGATGTCCAGAATCTTGGACACAACTGACAAAAGGAAATCGCGGACCTCCTGGTCCAAAAGGTCCTCCAGGTCCACCAGGTCCTTCAGGAATAGATGGTGCAAAAGGTGATCTAGGACCACCAGGTTTTCCAGGCTCTAAAGGTTTGCCCGGTAATCCTGGGCCCAGTGGACCGCGAGGACTTCCCGGTCCCAGAGGAGAAAAAGGTGATAGAGGTCCAATGGGATTTGTTGGAGAGAAAGGCAGAGACGGCGCTCCGGGAGTTCCTGGTTTGGCGGGTACTAGAGGCTTAAAGGGAGAACCTGGAATTCCAGCAATTGGACCACCAGGCCCTCCGGGACCCTTCGGGCTTAAAGGAGAAAAAGGGTTGCCTGGTTTGCCAGGTAAAACAGGCGCTCCGGGTCAACCAGGATTGCCTGGACTTATGGGAGAGAAAGGAGATGTTGGAGTCCCTGGATTGAATGGTTTAACTGGTCCTCCTGGCCTAAAAGGAGAACCTGGTCCGTTTGGACCGCCCGGAATTCCTGGTGCTGCAGGTATTCCAGGCCCTGAAGGACAAAAAGGTGAACTTGGACTTAAAGGAGAAACGGGAGCACCAGGCTTGCCTGGATTCCCAGGCAGAAAAGGAGAACCTGGAATACCAGGATTAGAAGGACCAAAAGGTTTTCAAGGTCCTGCTGGTCGCCCTGGCCCCCCAGGACAACCAGGAATGGATGGGCTTCCGGGGCCTCAAGGAGAAAAAGGAGATAGAGGCTTTCCAGGAGCGCCAGGACCTCAAGGATTAGTAGGAATGCCAGGATTAGTGGGATATTCCGGTGAAAAAGGCGATACAGGTCCCGCGGGATTCCCGGGACTTCCAGGACCATCTGGAATGCCTGGCTTTAAAGGAGAACCAGGATTGCCAGGTTTGCCAGGGCAAAAAGGCGATCAAGGAGATGTTTCCGAAAAAGGACAAAAGGGAGAACCTGGAATTCCAGGATTAAGAGGCCCTCCTGGCTTATCAGGCAGACAAGGTTTCCCAGGTCCTAAAGGAGATAAGGGAACAATAGGACAAAGTATTCCCGGTCTGAAAGGAGAACCTGGTATTCCAGGAAATCCCGGAATTGACGGCAGACCAGGTATTCCTGGACTTAAGGGTGAACCAGGATTTCCAGGATTGCCAGGGTTGAAAGGCGACAGAGGATTCCCAGGCGAAAGAGGTGCTCCCGGTATTGATGGAATCTCTGGAGAAAAAGGAAATAAAGGTGATATTGGCTTTCCGGGACCACCCGGATTCCCTGGAGCCAAGGGTGATATTGGTTTACCTGGTCGTGCTGGTCTTGATGGCCTCAAAGGAGAAAGGGGACCTCCAGGGCCTATAGGTCCCGTCGGTTTTCCTGGTCCTAAGGGAGAATGGGGAGAACGCGGTCCTCCAGGACCTTTAGTAACGGTCAAAGGTGATAAAGGAGAACCGGGACCTCCTGGATTGCGTGGCTTAGAGGGCGAGAAAGGAGATCGTGGATATCCAGGCCAACCCGGGTTATCGGGAGAGAAAGGAAATTCTGGATTTCCGGGAGTTAAAGGAGAACCTGGATTTATTGGCGCTCCGGGTGAAAAAGGTTAGTTAATTAAGTATAAATAAATATTATTCTTTAATAAAAATTTGTTTACAGGTGACAAAGGTTTTCCTGGAATTGCCGGAGTTCCCGGCGCTACCGTGAAAGGTGAAAAAGGTCTTCCTGGTATTCCCGGAAAACAAGGGCGCGAGGGCTTGCACGGAATTCCCGGCGAAAAAGGCGATCGAGGTCTTCCAGGCCTCCCAGGCCGCTCAGGATCCCCCGGACTTCCTGGACCTCCAGGCTCTAAAGGAGGCAAAGGCGATCGAGGTTTCCCAGGACCTGTCGGACCTCCAGGAAGTATGGGACCCCCAGGACGCGACGGCTTACCCTGCGCTCCAGGTCCTCAAGGCGAAAAAGGTGACCGAGGCCCACCTGGACTTATCGGAGCACCTGGAGAAAAGGGCGATCGGGGAATAACTGGACTTCAGGGACCTCCTGGATATCCAGGCGAAAAAGGCGACCGTGGATTTGACGGAATTTCCGGACCCCCAGGACCTGTTGGACCGATCGGAGAAAAAGGCTTCCCTGGCGCTCCTGGTCGTCCTGGAGTACCAGGATTAGGCGGCCCTAAGGGCGATAAAGGAGAGCCGGCACCACCTGGATTCCCTGGACCTAAGGGAGATAAAGGAGTACCAGGACAGCCAGGATTGCCCGGAGAACGAGGGTTACCGGGTCCGGTGGGACCCCCTGGTCGGGATGGCTTCCCTGGCGAGAAAGGAGACCGAGGAGTTGATGGATTACCGGGATCTCCAGGTCCGTCGGGACCAAAAGGAGATAGAGGATTTGATGGAGCGATTGGTATTACTGGTCCTGTGGGTGAACCAGGTCCCAAAGGAGAACCCGGGGCTCCGTGTGAACAAGTCGGGGATTACCTCACTGGAAATCTTCTAGTGAGACACAGCCAAAGTATCGAAATTCCACAATGTGAGAGCGGCCACATGAAACTATGGGAAGGTTATTCTCTTCTCTATGTGCAAGGAAACGAAAAAGCTCATTCGCAAGATCTTGGTTTCGCCGGTTCTTGCATTAGGAAGTTCTCCACGATGCCTTTTGTCTTCTGTGACTTCAACAATGTTTGTAATTACGCCAGCAGAAATGATAAGTCTTATTGGTTGTCAACGAGTGCTCCAATTCCGATGATGCCAGTCGAAGAGTCGGCTATAAGACAATACATCTCCAGATGTGTGGTCTGCGAAGCCCCATCTAACGTCATCGCGGTGCACAGCCAATCACTATCCTTGCCTGACTGTCCGCACGGCTGGAGCTCTCTCTGGATTGGCTACAGTTTCATTATGGTGAGTAAAAACAGAGCCTGGATCTTGGTACAAATCCCGTTTCTTTCAGCACACGTCTGATGGCGCTGAAGGCGGTGGTCAGTCTCTGGTGAGTCCGGGTTCGTGTCTGGAAGATTTCCGGGCATCGCCGTTCATCGAATGCAACGGCGCCCAAGGCACGTGCCACTACTTTGCCAACACTCTCAGCTTCTGGCTGGCGACCATCGAGCCCTACCAAGAGTTCCAGAAGCCCCAGAAGCAGACGCTGAAAGCCGGCAACGTCCGCGATCGAATAAGTCGATGCCAAGTGTGCATCAAGAACACGTAATACCGCCGGTAACCCTTAGGCTTATTTTCGACGAGTCGATGGGTCAGTCGCATCGCGGTGCGAATGACCCATCCGATCATGTGTTCAACCTCCAGTGTTCCTCGAATCTCGAGTTCTTGTACATCGGGCGTACGAATGATGCACGAGAACTCGCATTTTTGTATCATAAGCTTTGTAACGTTTTAATACTGCCGTGCCATGTTTGTGTAACAAAAAGCATGTAAAGAGTTTTGTATAGTATTTAGTTTAAGTTGTATGTATGTAATAATACCACAAGGCTAGATGAAATGGTATTTGCGAAAAAATCATTAATTAGGGCGGTCACAGTTCTTAGAAGTTTCGCTGTGATTTTTAATAGCATTTTTTAAGCTGAACGGTTATCTTTTAAAGAGAATATTTTTGTAATTAATTATTTTAATGGTGCTATGTATCCCTGTAATAATTTATGTGTTCGCTTTAAGTCTGCAGTGATCTTGTTCTACAATTTATCCTCAACACACACTGTTACACTTTTAATCTCATTATTAACATTCCTTTTTTGGGCTTTCGTTCTAAACTTCTAGTCAACAACGTGGCTACAAAAACTTCAAATTCATCAAGTATCACTGCTTGTTTGTAATCTTTCCAGCTCTTTAAACTTTTTTATTAAAACACTGCCATTGTAAAATAAATATTACTTAAACAACGTTACTTATTTAATTCACTCACCTGTTCGTAATAAAAAATTTAACTAAAGAAGTATGCATCACACAATACTCTAGCGTAGATAAAAATTGCATATCCACTATTACTGGAAAAACGAGGAATAGAAGAATGGAATTTCCAGTCCGCAGAATGATAATTGAAAAATCTTAAAACAATTTTTAAACAAAAACTTCCACAAAACACAATCCGCAAGTAAAATATCCTACGACAAATAATTTTTAAGTTATCCACTGTAATTGCGCATATTTTTTGGGTCATTTTCTGAAGAAATTCTAATGAGCAGGTTTTTCAGTCATCTAATTCTGGATAATTTGGATCGTAATTTTATTCAAAAATTAGCTAATTTTTTTTAGAAAGCTTAAAATGTTAGAAAAATTGGGAAACAAAAATTTTAAAATAAATTCAAATGTTTTAAACGAAACTCGGAAAGTAAGGAAATTATAAAATGTTAAAATCTATGTTGCAAAAACTTTCCAAATTGAGTTTTCGAATCGTTAAATGTTTAAAAAAACACATTTCCTACAATTTCCTACAGTACTTTACCATGTTAGAGTGCAGTAAAAGCTACAAGTACATACCTGGGCGTGTATGTAGAAGACCAAAACGCGTCTCGGATGAGTTTATTTTTAATTTTTACTTTTTTTTATTTTGTAAATTGGGAAGAAACTGTATCTCAATGATACAATATTTTGACCTAAATGAAAACTGCCAAATTCGTAATAGTTTTTAAGTTATAGACGTGTTTAAATTTTTGATATTTTTGACTTAATCACAAATTTTCTCGATAACTGTTTATCGTAGAGCACAGACCTTTTTTGTATATGATAGAAAATTAAATTTTCTTTCCACCGGTACCAAATATAAGAAGTTATCTCTAATAAGTCCGTAGTTATTGGCATTAGACCGCTCCGCGTACCGAAAATCGCTCAAAATTTCGACAAAAATCGAAAAAATTAAAAACTTTAAAATTGCCTATTTGCACTCTTGGGGGTTCAAAAAATTTAATAAAACACAAACATTGTAAAAATGTGAAAAATAAATTTTTGAAAAATTTTGTGTAAAATATATTGAATGAAAACTTTGAAATTGTCGGCGGCGGTGGTGGCTCAGCGGCATAAGGTCCCGCTTTCCAGCAGGTAAGTCCCGAGTTCGAGCCACGGTCAAGTCGGCAATTTTTCACAAATTCAAATATATTTGAAATAAATGTCAAAAGAGGACGGGCGCATAAGAGCGCGATCTTTAAAAACATGTGCACATGTTCTAATAAGTATAAGAGAGAAAGCGCACAATACTAACAAAAATAAGCACCAATAGATGGCTGGCGTATAAGAGCGCGAACTTTAAAACAAGTATCTACAAAAGTGAAAATAGTGTAAAAAGTTAATAGTAATAAATAAGTAAACAAAAGGTAAGTTAAAAGTAATATAAGTGAAAGGTAAGTTTTGCTTTAAAAATTAAGAATTTTTTTTATTAATTATTGTTATTATGAACGTAACATTATGAAAGTAACAGAATATTTTTAACACCCTGTACAATTATAAATAAGTGCGCATTTTTTTTACATAGATAAACACCCCCAGGAACTCTATCTTTTCCTGCGCCACTGGTCTTCAATTAATTTTGGGTAATAATAATAGAATTATTCTAAAACAATTATCACAAATTTTCTCGATAACTATTTATCGTAGAGCACTGATCTTTTTTGTATACATACAAACATAAAAGGTTATCACCAATAACTCCAAAGTTATTGGCAATAGAGCACTCCGGGTTCCAAAAATCACCAAAATCTCGACAAAAATCAAAAAATTTTCAACCTTAAAATTCTTGCATATAACGTTTTTTAAGTCATAAAAACACTTGAAATATGGTTTTTCATGTTGCAGAAGCTTTCTAAATTGAGTTTTCGGGTCGTAAAACGTGTAAAAAACAAAATTCTGTAAGTTTAAATTTCCAGCGACAATACTTTACCATGTTAGAGTGGGGTAAAAGCTAGAAGTACACACCTGAACGTATATGCGTAGGTGACCAAAACGCGTCTCGAGTTTTTGGACGCAGTAGCGTGTAAATTGGCTTTATTATTGTAATATTTGGGCTAGGGCTAAAATAAAGGAGTCATTTGAAATATGTTGTACAGAGTGGTTATAAATGATTTTCATCTAGCCAGCTTTGGAATTTTTTTGCATGTAACTTTATTTGTGCTGCTCTATATTTTTGAAAGCTCTAGTTCTGTCATTAGTGTCACTTATTCATTAATAATAAATTGTTGTTAATTAAATTTTTATTGTTTCAACTAATTTCCAATAATAATTGATAATAATGTATACTTTGGAAGAAAACAAGTTTATAATTGAAGTCTATTTTCGAAGTGGACGCTTAGTAAACGTCGATTTTTTAATTTTGAGTTACAACAAATAGGTACCCCTATTTTCTTAAAGCGGCATTTTTTATTTTACATGGAAAATTCACAGCTGGCTAGATGAAAATCATTTATAACCACTCTGTATTTAAACTGCAATTTTTGATAGTGGAATTTATAATTCCTATTGTATAGGCAGTTTTCTCGTGAATGTTACAATAACCATATTATTTTGTTTCGCCGCTGGTTTTCGTTTCATCGACTAGTGCAATTCTACATTAAGAAAAATTGTTGGTTGCATACATAAAAAGCTCGTTTAAAGAACATTCATGAGGAAAAAAGTCGGCACCATCCATTAACCATTCATATCGAACGTTGAAAAATGTCGTTTACAATTCGTAAAAGTAGAAGATAATCATTAAAACCATCTTTCGAAAAAATTAGTCACGCATGTGTGACCTCTTAACCGCCCATGTGTCGTTTGCACGTGACTTCACACTTTAGCGCACACGTTCGATAAAATTCCCGATATTAAAATACCATTTCCTCATTGCCATCAAACTCGATTAATTGTCGGTAGCTCCGAGATCCGACAATTTACGTTCAGCGCCGTGTATAATCCTCCTCGTCATAAATCTCTTGCTTCTTACCGCCAAAATATTTAACCGAAGAATGTTTTATACCCCGTCATAACCCGCATAAATTAAGACCCAACACGCATGTGTCTTTGACCAGTATCGACCGTTATTGAAAAAGTTAACGAGTTGCTCGAAACATTTCAAAGTTCTTTGTTTTTTGGCGGTTTAATTGGCCCGTTTTCGCCATAAATCATCGCCGGATCTCTTCATATCCACGTAGCTTGCAGCACAAAGCGGAAATTCCGCGTATCATCACCAATAACTAGTCTTCGCACATTTCAATACGCGATGATTAAATCTTTTCTTTGAATGGTCGCGCGGTTTATTCGCGACGCCGAATGCAGCTTGCGGCAGATGCGTTCAATTGCGATCAAAAGCCACCGAGACGAATGGGAATATTCCTTGTAATTATCTATGTATATTTCAAAGACGAGCACGGGGCGGGAATGAGAAATACAAACAGTTTTGGGTTTTATTGCTGACAGATGCGCACCCTCGCAAGGTTTCATTAGACGACGATATATCGCAGGATTAATGGATCGATGGAGTGATAAGCGAAAGGCGAAATTTTTAAAGAGACGTGGGAAATTTATGGTGAAAGGAGAGGGAAGATTGAGCGGTCAACAGGCCGAAATTAAGTTGAGAAGTTAAGTGGAAATGAGGGGCAAACGGGGCTTTAATAAACACAGATGTTTCAACAAAATGTACTAATTTTACAACGAAAAATAGTTATTTATTCGACGAGTTTTTACACTCAAACGAGTTGAATACAACATTTTATTCTTCGAATTAGAGTCAACAAGGCTTAAACTTTAAATCTGTTAAAAATAATTTGACGTTTTGTATTGAGAAATGCCAAACAGTTGTCAAAACTTCCTTACACGGGAGAAAAACCGTAAATTTTGACAGTGTGGAAGAATAAAATCAGTTTTACTGCTACATTCAAAATATTAACAATTATTTTGTCATAGAAGTAAAGTGATTGAATTGGAATAATGTACTTCATGCAAACATAAAAATGAGAACTTTTTTCCTCTCTATAAAAAATATGTATTTAAAATTGATGCGATTTACATTTTATAATTTTAACTAATTATTTGTTAGGGCAAATTTACAGAAAGCAAACTAAAACTTAATTCAATGTAATTACGAATCATGAAATTTGACTGCAAAAATAATGTTCTGTATAATGTAATAAAGGTAGTACTTTGAACTTTTTGCATAAAAGCCGGCGTAGCCCCATAAGCCCCAAGTAACATTTTTTCTCATGTTGAACCACTTAAACCCACTTGGGTGATAATTTGTGTAATCACCTTTAAGGAAAAATAAAAAAAAAACGATGAAATTGAAGATTTTATTTGTCTACATCATTTTTAATTTTATAATTTGTTTCTCATTTATTTACATTTATGGTTTGCATTTTGGTTTATGTTAAGTGTACTATATCAAATAACTAAATTTTTTATCGTTTTATTTATTAATTATTATTCCCAACGAAATAGTTATTTGTATCACAAGGCCAGAAACTGTATTTTGACAATTTGACAGGACCGTTTCTGGCTGTGTGATACACAATATTTTTTGGTACGAGCACTTTTAAATTGTCCCAAAAGTTCAACAAAATCAAATAGTTTGCGCTAAAGAAGTTACATTTAGGTCCTCCAAATTAATAAATTTCCAATCCAAATTCAAAAATTTATTCAATACATCAAATATTTGCTGTGAAATCAAACCGCTTGTCAATTTAAAAAATGTCAACCATAGAAGTTAACGGATAGTAAATTTTTTGATGTGCATCGATAGAGTTGTTTCCGGACAATTTTAACGAATACAAAATCAACGTTTCTAGACGAAAAAACATTATTTTAAAAAATGTAGAAAAAAATGTAGATTGTCTACGACAAAATTTAAAGTAACAGTCATATTTTAAAAACAAAGTTAGGATTATTGTAGGTAATTAATAAAAATGAATACATACCTACAA